GCGATTGTTTTGTCTTTGCTGTACTTCCTGTCTAGAAAGGCAGCAGTGCACACATCTTATCAGCTGTGTGTAAACTGTTTGTAAATAGCAAATAAAGAAAGTGGCTCAACTTAAAACTATTTACCCTCAGTTCAGCTATGTTTGTAAACCATGCATATTAATGAGATGCACTAGTTGGGTGTACACTGGATAAACAAAAACTTGGCCATTTGTTTGCACACAAGAAAAAAATCAGTTTACTTGTACAAGATATTTTTTTTCAATAAAATAAAAACACCAATGTATGTAGCATGCCTTAGGGAGCTATTCGTGTGATTTTCAAAAAAAAATGTGAAAAGTGCCCAAAAAACTATTCTGCTACCTTAAGTCCTAATATACGGTTTATATTACATACATATTGCAATCACTAAATGGGCAACAGATGCACAAAACAAACAATACACCGTACATGTATAATCTTTTGAATAAGCGTCAGGGAAGAGTAAAAGGCCATAATTTGGTTCTAAAATAGACGTCACAAAATGTTGAAAAATTAGTCAATCAAAACAACACATGATAAAAAAAATACTATATTTAATGTAATATGCATTGTTTTTAATTTTGTTGTAACGAAAAGTATATTCTAAGAGAAGTTTCAGATAAAAACAAACATGAATGCATTGCTTAGTTATAAATAATCACAGTACAGTAGTGCAATCCAGTCATGCTGTGTTTCACAAGTGAATAACTTACTTATTTTCAAAGTGTTGCAATTGTTGATTGCAATTGCCTATTTTTAGGCACGTCGAAACAAATGAATAAAATTAGGAACAATGCTGTTTTTGACCAGCTGGTTGAAACAATGAAGTCAGTCACGGTCTTGTTGAATTGGGGGTGCGGTCAGTAATAGGTACTTTTCGTGTTTTCAATTTTTTTCAAGAACGGAATTGGGGGTGTGGTTACTATTACGTATGCTGTTTATATTAGGACTTTAACGGTACATTACGTACAACCTTAAAATATTCAAAAATCATGTGCTGATTTTCTGCTCATCAACATCATTGCCTTTAAGAATTCAGAGGAAAACATCACAAAGGCAACTGTACACTCTGTATGTGAATACAATCGATACATAATCTGCATAGAGACAAAGCGACAAATATGGCAAACATGCAAGAATAAATATATGACCACTTGGGTTCCACTGTACAGTCTATAACCACTAGTCTAATAATTGAGCAATCATATACTCATGAAAATCACTCTGCTTGTATTAAACCTACCTTCATGCACTGGTTTGGCATTGGCAACAGCTGCACCACCCACTGTGGAAGATACTGGACATTGAAAAAAATTCAACATATCATCCCACTGAAGAATATGCTGAGGTAATGTCACCAATCGCCTATGTAAAAAAAAAAAACACCATTCAATATGAGACTTATTTGACTACTGCATTTGCTATATTAGTAGTGTATCTGTACATAAATTAAATACATTTTTTTCAAAAAAAGTTTACAATGTAAAGATGACATCACTAATATAAATAGCTCTACCTGACCTTAACAGTGAAGCTAAAAAATATAAGAACATAAAACACAAACTTTACATGTATCTTCATGGTGGAGAGAGACATTTTATTTTTTTACTATATGTAACTACTGTAGATACATTATTCATTCACTTAATTATTATTCACCATTTTCACTGATAAGGGTTTTTCTAGAAAAAAACTGCAAGAGGGAGCACTGCAATGCAGTGGCGCTACCAAGTGGGGGAGATGGGATTCTCCCTACCAGGGTGTTTTTGATAATTCTAAGTTAAAATGGTGCATTCTATGGCTTTTCTTGGGACCAAAATTAATATCAGACAGGTCACAGTTGAAGACTGGCCACATGTGATCCCTAGTCATTCAGAATTTTATGGTTGCCAGAGGATCTGCTCCCCAGGGTAAGGAGGCGCATGGCCATGGTATGAGGGCGCTACACTCCTGTTCCCTTGTTTAAAAAAATCCCTGAGTGATATTCGCTAAATTAAATCCACACGAACATATGAAATAACAATAGAGCTTATTGTTTTCTTGTCAAATGCATGAACTTAAAAAACCCAGTAAAAATACTCAAAATATCAAAATAGTGAAATTAAATGCCAGTGATAATAAATGGTTGACAAGTAATCGGACATGATAATATTACAAGTATATACATTTAAGCTTTGGCATCATGTACCTGCTTATGTAATATATTG